GCCAACCGATGTTTAAAACTAGAAAACAAATGTACTTAACCTTGGCAGGAAAAATTGAAATTACTCTTTGATAATAATAAACGCTTAATTTTTAGCATCCAACCAGACATTGGAAGAGGCCAGCCTCTTCCTTAGGGAATCTGTCATTGAAAAAAGGTGAACGGATTATAAGTCCTTATACTCCTACAAAGATAATGGCTTCTATTCAATAGCTTTAAATTGCTCTAGAAAATGTAAATGTTGAACAAGGAATCGGTGAAATAATAAACAACGCAATACTAAACCTTAATAATGGTAAGAGGGCTTAATTATAATAGAATACTATTAAAAGTAGAAAAAATTTCCAAATGGAACTAAAAGTGATCAAGAGCTCACTTCAAATAGCGCGAATTTAACTGTGCCGATAACGGTAAAAGGAAGGAAGAACTATTTTCCGTTTATATGTATGTTTTAGAGAATACAAGTGGATCAGATATGAGAATTGTATCCGTCGTATTTCGTTTAAGGTGGTATTTAAATTTTTCCGCAATGATATGAGTAGGCCTTGTATTTAGGTCGAATTGCACATAGCTTTGCTTCATCTACAATGCCACCACAGAAATGTGATGTGGAAAAGGGCTAATCTTCCTTGAAATTCACTTTTTTCCTGCAATCCAAGGGCACTCGGGGCAGTAAGATTTAGTGATTAACGTGTCGAGACATTACATAGAACATCTGTAACTTGAGTTCGAATCACACTGGTGGTGCTGATGTAGCTTAGACAAGTTCGAAACTGCAGTCTTATCTAGATGAGAATAGCAACTAAACTCAAAAGCTTTGTGAAATTCACTGGAGGCACGGAGGCTACTCATATCTTTATGTGACAATTCAGCTACTAGCCCTTCATCACCTTAAACGAAATAAAATAATTACAGCTCTGACGCCAGGTTTAGCCATTAATATAAAGACAAATTATCGGCAAAATAATTTCCTTATTTTTATGACTAATTAATCAAGACATAATTGATTTTTTAATGGCATTACGATAAATGCAGTTTTAGTTGCATAGTAAAGATAGTTGAATTCTCTCAAAGTAATATAAATAGGCCATAAGATGCCAGGAAATTTTATTAAGTCTATTTTCACGTGGATAGATAACGAAATAACGAGTAATTGTTGAATAAGAACGTTTACACCGTAGATCAGTAACGATGATTTGAGAAATTGAATTTCCCTTGACATTGCTTCTGAAAAAGTGTAGTTTAGACCTCGTTTTGGTTCTCATCAGTCCTCTCAACAGAAATCAGACCCAGGTAGTTTAGCCTAATATAAATATATATAAAGTTAGCCCTACATTCTTGAAGTTTCGAATAAAATATAAATCTGAAAGGCACTGATAAGCATGTAAAAACCTTGTTATTGTGGTATAGCAAATGCTAAAAACATAACCCCATGTGAAAATAAATCCCTGCTTTGTATCATCTACTCATAATACTAGACATGATTTATAAACTAAGATCAGCAAATATAAAAATAATATCTTGGCAAGATTAAGTGAGATTGCATAGTAATATTCGCAAAAATAAAAATAAAAATCAGAAAATGCATATTCTAACGAATTTTAGACGCAAGCCCAATTATACTCCAATAGGCTGGCTCCGATCATCATTATTAGCAGGCAACTTGATAGCTAAAGGTTTTTTCACATGCTAGGGTCACAATGGAAGGACCTGGCCTGTATTGACTTTAGGAGAATGAGCGTAAATCTGTCCAAGTGGCGCACTGTGGCTAATGATCATGCAATAGTAAGGGCGATTAAACGTTATAACGAGCGACATAAACGAATGTAAACTAGGCAGAATCTTAATATCGAACATCAAGTAACAACTTACTTCGTCCGGAAATAATTAAGGAGGGAGACCCCAGCACCGTGTCAGATCTGAGCCAGGAAATTCCAATCAAGGTTTACAAATTAGGTGAGGTTAACACAGCTCAACACCTCACCAAAGTATAGGAGACTAGGATAACCCACACTCCGTCACTTGAAAATAGATATAGATACTAACTAGGCAAGACTGAAAGCGTCCTGAGGAATCGAAGTCATCATGAAGGAAGACAATACTATTTAGCGAAGAGTATAGTCTACGGTGAAGGTAGTTATCATCCCCATTATCATCCCCATTATCATTATATTAAAGCCTTTTTATTTTTAGTAATAAAGTAAGAGCATTTGGAGGAAAAAAGGATCAGGCTAGTTTGGCCACCTGAAGGCTGAGAAGTGATTAGAATGAGCAACCTCAAAAAAGAGGCGCTGATACCATCTGTAGATCCTGAATAAGAATTTTCTGCACCTTATGGAGCATAAAATGATGAAGAACTGACGAGTGAATTTTCCCAAAATTATATAAGTATGCTATACTTTTGATGACACTGTGAATGATAATACGTTTTTTGAAGAAAGGTTAAATGAAATTCAATGGCGTCCCTAGAATTACTCGAATCCTCGTGGGAAAATTCACTCTTTAATCACGACTTAAAATCTTATTAAGTTAAGTATAATCTACTCTACCTGGCCCCATTTCGAAATTTGAATAGCGTGAAGAATGGTTTGCTGAATCAGTGATATGTAACTATTATCGAAAATATTATGGGATCTGATTCTATGTCAGTTTATTTCTGGCCCATATTAGCAAAATTATATTATCGGTTTTAGCAAACAGATAAAGACAACTATTGACAAAGATAGCTGTATGAAAAGTAAATCTTGTCTAATTAATTATAACAATATTTGCTGTAATCTAAATGAAATTGAAATACCATCATATTCATTAAGAGAGACATAAATAAATGAGCCAAAAAACAAGCGAGATCTTGATTTTCTGATGTTTCCAGCGTGAATCAAAGTGAGGCGAACGAAAAAAAAATGATATTTAGATTATATGAGAAGATGAAAGATAATGAATAATGAATGATACAAAAGCCTACTGGAACACTTTGTCCAGCCACATCGCCGTCCTGAAGAGATATGGTGAGTCCTGGTGCGTTGTAATGAGCATTAAGGCCGGCGGCAACACGACGAACCGTAAGGTACAAATCAGCAACCTGGCCTGATGAAAGATCTAAGAACCGGGGCAACACTGAAAGTGGACTAACAAGCACATCTGCAGATGTCAATGCGAATGTGTCGAGCATATATGTAAAAAATTTCGATTAACAACCGAGTTTCGTTGTGGTCCAGGCGAATCGAAGCAAAAAGAGTGGAATTAGTGTGGTTTAAATCATGGATAAAATAACGAAGTTAAATAAAAGTAAATCATAAGATAAATCAAATTTGTGCATAAAAATTGGCAAAATGAGAACCACTTCATCAGATCCAAATGTAATTGACAAAGAAATAAGCGCAGTGCTCTTGAGGTATAAGTAATTTTTATTTATAATTTTAATATTGAATAATGCATTTTAAAAATAAATTTAGAACTCAACTTTTATGCCATTATACAATGAAAGAGTCTTTAATTTATTGAACAAGAACGAATTAAAAAATATATCTTGGTCTATTTCAGAGTATAGAGAAAGACTAATAGCAGATAGGAAGACCAAGATTTTGTGGCCTCTGTGTTAGTAGCAGTCTCTTTTCACTGTATAGAAGTGGATTGACCTTG